GCGGCGGCTCACGGTGGGCGAACTGCTTCTGGTAGCTGCGGACGGGCGGCGGCCCCGGAGGCACTGGCGGCTGCTGCTGCCAGTCGGTGAAGGAGCCGGGCAGCGGCGGCGGCGGCAGCCCCGGCGGGGGCGGCCCCGGCGGCGGCGGCGGGCCCAGCAGCACGGACTGCAGCTGCTTCTGGTGCATCTGCTGGAGCTGCTGCAGCTGGGCCAGGTGCTGTTCCTGCAGGCTCAGAAACCCCGAGGAACCGGCGGGCGGCGGCGCGGCGGCGGGGGGCGCGGGGCCCGGCGGCGGGTAGCTGGGCAGCGGCATCGGCGGCACGGCGGGAGGCGGCACGCTGGGGGGCGGGATGGGCAGCGGCGGGGGCGGAATGGAGGTGGGGGGCGGCGGGTAGTGCCCGGCCGCCCCGTACAAGCCCCAGGCCGGGTACATGGCGGAGCGCGCAGCGGGCACAGGCCGCGGCGGCGGCGGCGGGCGGCGCACGGCGCCTGCGCGGAAAAGCCCCGCCCCGCCGAGCAGTCGAGCGCGAACGCGGGGCCAGAGCGCTCAGAGGCGCCCCTTGGTGGGGGGGGGGGCGGTGGCGGCACAGCGCCCCCTCGCGGGCACGGCCGCCAGCCCGGCGACGGGACGGGGGGTCAGCGCGGGGAAGCCGCCGGGGCTCCGTTTTGTGTCGGGGTGCCGGCAGGTGCCGCGCAGGCAAGGCTATGGATGGCTGTCCCGGCACCTCCGCGGGCCCTGATATCCCTGGGGCGCCGGTGCCCTCTGTTCCCTGGGGTGGCCGTGTTCTCTGCCCGCCCGCTGTGCCACGGCCGGTGTCGCCGTGCCGCTGCGGTCCCGCCACAGCCAGGTCCGGTGACCGGGGGCTCCGTAGCAGAGCTGGTGAACCGTAGCGACTGAAGGGTGGCATGAGCGCGGCCACACGTCCCCCCGAGCCGGGCCCCGGGAACGACGCACGAAGGGAAAGAGGTCCTGCAGCCTCGGGAAGGGCAGCGCGGAGCCCCCCGAGGGGACGGCGCTCTGCGAGGTGATCCAGCCCCGATGATCCAGCCCCAGAATGCCATGAACGATCCTGTTTCCAGCGAATATGCTGGCGATAAACCTGATACACGAACACGAGAATGGAGCAGTGGATGTGTGAAAGTGCCTCATCCATTACAGAAACGACTGCACTGAGATGCAGGAAAGAATCTTTGTTTGTTTCTCCCTTCCCACACTATAGCATGAGTTAAACATACAAATATCTTCTGTATCCCTTTAGTAATGATTTATGCCAAGTTCTAAACTGCACTGAAAGACATGAGGGCTTGTGTGTCTGAATTCTAGTAGCTGGGCAGCGCAGCCTCCTGGCTGTGAGTCAGCAGGGCACCAGCACTGTGTGTGTCACTCCTTGCTCTCCTTCCCAAGCACAGAAAATATGAGCAATTTTTGCCATGTTCAGTCTCTAGTTCATGACTGGCAAATCAAGGATCCCTGGCCAGTGCAAAAAGGCACATGTTGGAGGAAAAGTCCTAAGACTTTTCAGTCAGGAGAAAAATCAGGAAAACCAGATTGTTAGGGAGAGGAAAAGCTTTGTCCTCTCTGGTAGAAAAGCTGGACTTTGTGTTCATTTGTTGTTAAATTCCAAGGAATCTATAGACGAGATACATTAATACCATTAATCTACAAGAAAAGCTTTCACTGTGAACTCAAGTTATGAGATGCAAATCTCTAAGAAAACTATTTTAATACACATAGAACTGTCTTTTCTATTCTTTAGTATCCTTCTTTTCATCTAGAGGCGATTATTGGTCCTTTTACATTTAGGATGATCTAGATTTCTCCTGCAGTGAATATGACTTCCAGATAGCATTTGTACTTTTAGCTCCTATTTCCTCTTCACCGTGCAGGTACTTAGCATTTATATCCCTGAGCTCTATGGGCCAGTTTACTCACTAAGCTTTTGAAAGTCTTCTTCAAAATAGGGAATTCTTCCCCAAATAGGGAATTCCTACTGCAAACATCCTGTAATTTAGCCTCCTGATCTGTTCACTCAGAGTGAATTCTCTTGTGATCAGTTTACTCACAGTTATTTCCTGCAAGCAGGTCTCTCCCAGTATTCTTGCTCTTAGCTGTGGTTACTCAATATTGTCAAGAGACTTGTTGCTTTCCTTATGAATACATGTACTTAACCACTTTCAGGGACAACTGTTTTCCAGCCTACATTGAGGAGGGCAAACTGTAACTTTCAAATAACTTGATGCTTTTTCAGTACTCACTTCTGGTTTGGACAGCAGTAGAGTTGACTTCCACCAAACAAGACACATTGGCTTTACCCAGTGTTACCTTGCCCTAAAGCAACCCTGCTAAGTTCATATTATGCCCTCTAATTTTTTTATTCTGAATATTTTATTGTTATTCTTTTATTCTATTCAGTCTGTAACATTAGTGGCTGTCATCATGTTGGTTTTAGTTTTTTTTAAGCTCATGTTCTTTCTGCTTCTAAATGCTACTATGCCGCCTCTCTGTTATCCCTCAGTCAACCTGTGTCACATCCTGGATTAACAGCTTAAGTTTCACTTCATCTAGTGGTAAGGCTGCAGTAATCTTAGGCCTTCTGGTAGCTCCAGAAAGGAGTAGAAATTATTTTCTCCTATTCTTTGTATAAATTCAAACTTTCTTTACACGGCTGCCCTGGTTGTTCTCTGTCTTCTGAAGCTGTGGGAACTGGCTACAGCAAGAGACAGGATGTTAGTGGGGAGGCTGGATTCTCTAATTACTGAGAAACACTGCAAGCATCTGTTTGATATTTAACTCCTGAGCAGGTTTAAACCAACTACCATAGTTGGGTCAGGAAGGAATTTCTCCTCTGGTTTGGACTGGCAGAGTTCTGCATTTGTGGGAATATCAAAGTATTCTAGCTTATCAAACTCGATTTTCTGTGACAAGGATCTTTCCTCCTTTGATATGCTGTAAGCTGGATCTGAGGTTGGGATACCATTATGTGCATGGAATAAATACTTTCCTCTGAACCAAGTGTTTGGTACACAGGTTCCCTGGCACTGCAGGAGAAGCAGTTGATCATTCAGGTGGTCCTTTCCTATCCTGTTTATCTTCTGACAAGGTTCTTTGAGCTAATATTTAAGTTTTTCATCTTGCCAATTATACTCAGTTAAAAAAAATTTCCTGATGGGTTTGTTCACTGCCAATACTTTCTCCTTGCTGCTCAACCTCTAAACCTTTTAACACATCTTTAGCAATTGCCTTATGTGTATTCCAGGTTCCTCCTCCTTTTACTAAAAGAGAGAGTAGAAGGAATAAAGTAAATGGACACATTTGCTTTGATTCCTACCCACAGCTACATACGTGTATTTTCATGAAATCCCTCCAATAGGCATTATGCTGGCAGGTACATGTTCCCCAAATTCATCATTCCCCAAATGCTGTACTTTCGACCTCTTATCTGGTGCCAGAAAGATTTTATCAAATATTACCATATATGTTCATTTCTTTCTTCTCCAGTCTCCTTCCATTTAGGTTAATTCAAGCAAAGTTATTTGCACTGGAACAATTTTAGTTAACTCTTTACTTGAAGAATTCTTTCAAAACTAGAATTATTCTGAAATCCAAGTTACAGAGATCTAATCCTACAACTATTTCTCAGTCCTCATTTGACGTAACATGGGCTTCAAGTGTTCATGACAATACTCGATCATTTAGCTTAAAGAAATGTAACTTGGACTGAGAGAAGAAAACTAACGATATTATTTTTGAAATGCACATATACCGAGTGTGAAATTTCAGGGTTGTTGGCTACTCTCTTCCTGGGTGAAGGCTGAGAAAAAAAAACTTCAACTGTGATAGCCTGGAAGGGTCTAAGTTTTGAAAGTGTCAGTATGCCCACCTGGATACCACCTCCTTTCAGGTAGTTATAGAGAGTGATAACATCTCCCCTGAGCCTCCTTTTCCTCAGACTAAACAACCACAGCTCCCTCAGCTGCTCCTCATAGGTCTCGTGCTCCAGACCCTTCACCAACTCTGTTGCCCTTCTCTGGACACACTCCAGCACCTCAATGTCTTTCTTGCAGTGAGGGGCCTAAAACTGAACACAGGACTCGAGGTGCAACCTCACCAGTGCCGAGTACAGGGGCAGGGTCTCTTCCCTAAGCCTGCTGACCACACTATTTCTGATACAGGCAAGGATGCTATTGGCCTTCTTGGCCACCTCTGCAGCCAAATCAGTATAAGGCAATACAGGATAAAAGCTCTAATAAAGTTTGGAAATTTTCTTAATTTTACCAAGAATACAAATTTTCAGTCTTCTCCTGTATTTTGGCCAGGAAGCATACTTTGGCATGTTGGCCCCTGCTGGCC